AGAGCCTACAGATACTGAAAGAATTGGGAAATGTTGTGAATAACTTTAATAAATCTCACAGCAGTGATGAAATGGACACATTTCTTGGAAGACACAAACTACCAAAAGCATCTTGCAAAGAAACTACAAGTCTAGATAGCTTCATTGGGAAATTCTACCAAATATTTATAGGAGAAATAGTACCATTTCTACACAAACTCTTCCAGAAAGTTGAAAAAGTTGGCAATATTTTACAACTTATTCTTTGAGGTCAGCATTATTCTAATATGGAAACCAGACAAAGATATTAAAAGGGAAAAGATCCCATAGGCCAAGTATCCCTTTTGAACAGAAAAGGAAAGCAAACAAAAAATTTAACGAATCTAATCTAACAAGATATAAAAGAGATAATGTATCATAAAGAAGTAAGATTTATACCAGGGTACATAAGTTGTTTTAACATTTGAAAATCAATATAACTCATAATAACTAAGAAACTAAAAAAAAATCTCTCAACAGAAACATAAAAATGTTATGTTTGACAAAACATAATGTCCATTTCTGGTAAAAGTTTTTAGCAAATTAGGAATAGAAGGCCACTTTCTAAACCTGATAAAAAGTACTTATGAAAAATGTGTAGCTAACATATTTAATAGTGAAGAACTGAATGCCTTCCTCGTCAGATCAGGACCAAGGCCTGGAGGTCAGCTCTCAGCTTTTCCCTTCTGCAGAGCCCTGGGGGTTCAAGGCAGCATAAGAAAGCAAGAAAAAAATTAAAACTGTCATCATCATAGAGAACATGATTATCTACATGGAAAAACCGATAGCTTCTATAAAAAAGCTCCTATGATTTAGTAATCTGAGTTTATCAAGTTTGCGATACAAGATCAATATACAAAAACCAAGTAATATCTCATGTTAGCAGCAAACAAAATATCATTTTATCATTTACAATAGCATCCAAACATCTAAAATATTAAGGGATAAATGTGACAAAGTAAAAGATCTGTATCCTGAAAATCATAAAACAATGCTGGGAGAAGTTGTTGGTTATTAAGTATGAAATGTCCAATTTCCTTAAGTACTAAGCTTGACGGTTGATATCTCTGACATTTCACCTTGACACTTCTTGTTTTTATAGTGAAGGTACATCTTCATTCTTTCAAATGCATGTTTTGCCTTTTAAAAAATTTTTAGAGCAATTTTTGTGAAACCATGGATGAGTCAAACATTTGTGTTACTTTTGAATATGAGTTCCTTTGTGGAACCAAAGCAGTGCAGACAGCTTGAAATGTCAATGAAGCGTTGGGGAAGGATGTGGCTCATGAACACACAGTATGTTGACAGTTTGAGAAGTTCCATTCTGATGATTTAAATCTTGAAAATGAGCCATGTGGGTGACCTGAGACCAAGGTGGATAATGATGAGCTGAAAGCTGTAGTGGAAGCGAATCCATGTGATTTAGTGGCAAGGTTTGACATTACTATTCCAACAATATTGGACCATTTGAAACAAATTGGCAAGGTAAAGAAGCTGGATAGGGGGTTCTGCATGAATTAAACGAGTATCAGAAGAGAAATCACCATGAGACTTGCCTTTCTTTGCTGTCACAACATAAAGGCGAACTTTTCTACACTGTATTATCATACGTGACGAAAAAGGACTTTTTGCTGATCACAAGCATTCAGCACAAAGGTTGGATAAAGACAAAGTGTTGAAACACAGTCCCAAACCAAACACTTCATCAAAAAAGCTAATGGTGCCTGTTTGGCGGTCGAGTGCTGGTATTGTTCACTAGAGCGTCATGAAATCTGGTCAAGGGATTACAGCGATGTCTACTGCAACCAGCTGGATGAAATGATGAGGATGCTTGTGCTTAAATGGCTGAAACTGGTTGACAAAGACAGGACAATCCTCTCGCCACACAATGAGATCTCACAAACAATGCTGCTGAAGCTACACAAGCTAGACTTGGAAACTCTGTGTAATCCCCCATAGTGACCGGACCCTGCACCACTGACTACCACTTCCTTCCAGGCTGTGGGCCACTTCTTGCAAAGAAAAATATTCAATTTTCAACAAGTTGTGGAAAACACCTTTTGCGATTTCATTGCCACCCACTCCCTAGGCTTCCTCACTGCTGGTATAAACAAGCTACTGTGAAGGTGGCAAAACCGTGTCGACAATTTAGACAAATACTTTGGTTAATTGTACTGCTTTTTGTTTGAGATGTAATAAACTAAACTTTTGATTCAAAATAGGACATTTCATATTTAATGACCTAATAAAGTCCTAATAAATGAGATATACTGAGCTCATGTTTGACAGACTTACTGTTACTAAGGTGTTAATTTTTCCAAATGGTCTTGTTGATACAAGTCACAATTCTGGCAGGTTCTGGGGTAGAAATTTATATACTGATTCTAAAATTCATATTAAAAATACAAAGAACCGGCTCTCAGCCCATAGCTCAATGGTTAGGGCGCTGGCCACATGCACCAGGGCTGGCAGGTTCCAACATGGCCCAGGCCTGCTAAACATCAATGACAACTACAACAACAATAAAAAATAGCTGGGCATTGTGTCTGGTGCCTGTAGTCCCAGCTGCTTGGGAGGCTGAGGAAAAGAATCACTTAAGCCCAAGAGTTTGAGGTTGCTGTGAGCTGTGATGCCATTGCACTCTACTGAGGGTGACATGGTGAGACTCTGTCTCAAAAAAACAAAAAACAAAGAACCTAGAATAGCTAAGACAACTTTGAAAAAGAACACCGCCTGATATTAAGAATTATCATAAAGCTAGTTATGAAGACAGTACAAGTCTGGATTCTAGATTTGGCTCTCACTGAAACAGGCAATAAAATGAATAAACAAATGTAAGCTGGAACATACTGCATTTATGTATGGCTGTTTTTTAAGAAAAAGCAAATGAGGCTCAGCGCCTGTGGCTCAAGCAGCTAAGGCGCCAGCCACATACACCTAAGGTGGCCGGTTCAGATCCAGCCCGGACCCACCAAACAACAATGACGGCTGCAACCAAAAAATAGCCGGGCATTGTGGCGGGTGCCTGTGGTCCCAGCTACTTGGGAGGCGGAGGCAGGAGACTCGCTTGAGCCCAGGATTTAGAGGTTGCTGTGAGCAGTGAAGCCATAGCACTCTACCCAGGGGGACAGCTTGAGGCTCTGTCTTAAAAAAAAAAGAAAAAGCAAATGAAATAGCCAAAGACAAGAATTATTTTCTTGGTAGAAATATGCTTGCAAATGTGCACTTTGAATATGTAATCACAGAATCACCTACCTCTATATTGCTATTACAAAGATGTAAGTTACAATGACCCTGAGAAGCAAAGTTATTTGTGGATATTATAATTAAAAAATTAATATTAAATAATAAAAATATTTCAAAAATCTCAAACATCTAAACCCCTAGATTTCTGCTACAATTCTGAAAAGTTTGATCCTAATGGAGAGGACATATTCATCTTAACACATTAGCTCAGTAAGTAATCTTACTTACAAAAATGAACTGAGATTGGAATTCTTCAGTACAGGACGAAGCACCAACAAGCTGGTGATTGTGGCTTGTGACTGGAAGGGTTTTGAGAGTGAAGTTTTTTCTACAATGAAGCTTTTCTCTTTTCCCCTGTTAAGAATAGTTAGCAACAATCACTGAGATATTTTTTCTTAAATTTTTATTCCTTCTTAACTGTATATAATAAAGTACCACATTTCTTTACATGAAAATTGCTTTTAAACAAGTCAGTAAATTCCACTCTGTTTATTTCAAAAGAACTTCGTGACAACTCTAAATTTCACCTGGAAAACACAAACTTTCCTAAAAAAAGAGACACGAAGAGGGAGGGCACACCTTTCTAGCTATTAAAAATATAGTAACACAGTAATATAGTAACAACAGTTAAAATAGCATACTACTTTCTTAGGACTAGACAGAAAAACACAGAAATAGATCAAGTAGGTAAATGCCTTTAAGATAAAAGTGGCATTCTAAGTAAGTGGAGAACGGCTATAAATCATACAGTATAAATCAATCAATTAAAAAGCAATAATAACCTTTATCTAGAGTGCCAAAAATGTATACACATTTTAAGAAAAAAAGAAACTGTATATTACTTCAGTCACATCTGACTTTTGTAATTATAAGAGATCCTCAAAAGTAACTTGTATTTATCTCTTGTCATTAGCATATATTGAGTATTACCATTTTAATAGTTTTTTCCTACATTAAAAGGTGTATACTTTTTTTTGCAGTTTTTGGCTGGGCCAGGTTTGAACCCGCCACCTCCGGTATATGGGGCTGGCGCCCTACTCCTTGAGCCACAGGCGCCACCTGAAAGGTGTATACATTTTTTTTGGCACCTTTTTTGGGCCCCTCTATAGTAAACCACAACTAAATTCTATAGGCTAAAAATTTACATAAAAAGGAAAACCATGAGACACTAGAAAAAATATAGAGAAGGCTGTCATATAACAAGAGAAAATATAAAAGAATATATAAAAAAGTCAGCATTTAAAATAGTAAAATAAATCAATGCCATAATTAGAACTAAAGACAAACAAAAAGCAACTGTAATATAGATGGTAGTTAAATGATTCACATTCTTGGTACATTCATTAGCATCCAAAAATTAATTACAACAATAATATGGCATTTTCATTTATCAATGTTAGCAAAGGTTAAAAACGCAACTTATACCAAGGATTAGGGTACTTAAGATACTTTTATACATATCCCATAGGGGATAGATTGGTACCAACTTTCTGGTGAGTCTTGGGCAATCTGTGTGAAAAGCAAAGGTTTAAAAATGAATATAATCTTTGATCCAAGAATTTTATTTTTAGAAATTTAGTTCAAGGAAATAAGAATATGCACGATGTTCAAATCAACAATTATGGTCATCTTAGTGCTGTTCAAGTACTTTAAGATGATCACTATACAAAACAGTGTGGATGCATATGTAAATTACTGTTCATTCATTCACAGGCAAAATTACTACATACTCAATTAAAATGCTCTATGAAAAAGACACCACCAGGTACTGGCAAGGATGTGGAACCAGACAATCTTTTACATGCTGATAGTGGGGCTAGGAATTTGCAAAACCACTTTAGGAAACTATGGCATATATCTACTTGTGCTAAACATACACAACCCTAGGACCCAGCAATTCCTAACGGAAGCATGTATACTCTATAGAAATGTGTACATATGCGCAACAAAAGACATGGACAAAAATGTCTGTAGCTGCATCATGTACAATACCTCCAAACTGAGAAACCACCCAAACGTTCGTCAACAGTAGAATGCTAAAACTAGTTTATTCACAGTGATGAAACAGTATACAGCAAAAGAAATAAACGGACTACTATCCCATGTCACCGTGGGGATGAACCACACAACAAAATGTTGATCTAAAGAAACTAGGGATCCATTTGTAATTAATAGGAATAGAAGTCAGGATAGTCATCTTTGGTGTGCATACGGCAGCTGGGAAAGAGAATAAGGAAGGCTTCTGGGGAACTGGGAAAGTTTTTTATCTTGGTCTGAAAGGAGTTGCATGAGTGTATTCACTTTATGAAAATTCATTCAACTTGTATAGTTAATGCGTGCACTTTTCCATATGTGTTCAATATAATGTTTAGCTAAAAACATTGAGTCTGTATAGGTTTCTCTTAAACACGTGATCCATAAATCTTCAGCCCAATCATGTGGGTGCTTGCTAAAGTACAGATGCCTGGACTCTCACCAAAACTTATGAAATAAAATTCCCAAGGAGTGAGGCAAAAGATTCTGTGTTTTAAGCAAATTCCTCGGACAATTCTTAAGTAGATTAAAGTTTGAAAGCCATTGTTGCGGGAAAATATTTAATGTCCTAGAGAGTAGCAGATAATAGTACAATTTAGAGTCAAAATGCCTGGGTTCAAACCTCACCTCTGCAATTGAATAGCTCTGTGATTGTGGTTAAGGAAGGCATCCCATCTCTGTAACCTCAGTTTTCTCAGTGGTAAAACGAGACTAATAATATGGTTGTTTCAAGAATTAAATGAGTTAATATACATGTAAAGTGCTTAGAATAGTGCCTTGCACATAGTAAACACTATACAAATATATAAAAAAAATT